TGCACACATTCAACTCAAACTTGACATATGGATATGTCATGAGAAAATACAGGTCAAATTCGAATTTGGTCATGGTTCAATGATTTTTGGCAGAGTTATGCCCCTTTTACTTTGAAAATAATATGAAATTTTCAGTTTCCGTTCATTATCTCCCCATTGGTACAACACATTCAACTTTAACTTGACATATGGATATGTCATGAGAAAATACAGGTCAAGTTTGAATTTGGTCATGGTTCGATGATTTTTGGCAGAGTTATGCCCCTTTTACATTGAAAATAATATGAAATTTTCAGTTTCCAAATAGATTGTCTTCAAACTTGAAGACCCTTAAACCCTTAAAAATAACCAGACAGACCTTGACCACCACTCATTCATGACCTTGACTTTGAAATTTTCATTGTTTTGGCTGTTACTGGCTGTAACTTTGCTATTATTGAAGGGATCAACTTCATATTATAACAGAACATACTTAAGGACAAGACCTTGTTGTTTATCAAACACTTGGGCTCTTTAATGACCTTGACCTTGAAGGTTAAATTACTGAATTTTCTCAGATTTGTGCATTAAATGACCATATATATTTATTGGTGTGTGTGTATATATATATCATCATCATCATCATCATCATCATCATCATCAACAACAACAATGTGTATCTATTTATAGAATGTATTGCGTGTATCTCTTTATAGAATGTATTGCATGTATCTATTTATAGAATATATTGCGTGTATCTATTTATAGTATGTATTGCGTGTATCCAGTGTCTATTCTAGGAATTGAAAAATAGGGGTGATTTTCCCCCCTCTATTTCAAAAAAGGGGGCGATTTTCAAAATCAAAGGGTGCCAATATAAACTGCCATGGTAAATCGTCTGCATAAAGTTTACACTGAGGCGTTCAACCGATGAAATAATTAAAACGATAATATTTATTTAAGGCAGCAGAAGTTGTCCCCCCTTAATTTTTAAACGAAAACAAATTATTACAGAACTGCCGCGATTGATTATAAAGGGATTGGCAATACAAATAATCGAACTATCTTTCACGTCTAGATCGTAGCCAAGCTAGGAATTGCCTCATTTTTCTTGATTATTTACTACACTAAAATGGCGCCCAACTGTCAGACCTAGCACACTAGTTCCGGTCTTTGAATTTTTATCATTATTATTGTTTTCAGTCAATGACAATTGCATGGAGGTAAATAATCACCTCTGTGCTTCAAAATTGGCTTTTCTGTACGAAATCTGCTGTGGTCATAGTATTATTTTTACAATAGGTTTAGCTCTTAAATTTGGTTTGCAAATCATGGTCATGCAACTACATAATTAGGTAAAGAAGCAGACTCAGCTGCAGACGCTTGTTTTGGTTGAGTCTGTAATGTTTTGTTTAGGGGGTGAATTGTCATATTACAGAAATTTACAAAATATATGCATTTGTTATTTTTCAATGATTTTTATTAGCTTACCTGTCACAAAGTAACAGGGTGAGCTTTTGTGACCGCTTTTTGTCCAGCGTCCATCCAGCATCTATCCGTAAACTTTTACTTTAAATGACATCTCCTCACAAACCTCTAAGCCAATTTCCTCCAAACTTCACAGGAATGTTCCTTTGGAAGTCAACTTTAAAAATTGTTCAAAGAATTTAATTCCAAGCAGACCTCTGGTTGCAATGGCAAGCGAAAGAAAAAAAACTTATAAAATTTAAAATTATAGGCCTGGGGTCAAAATTGCCCCGCCCGGGGGTCTTTGATTTTCACTATATGACATATAGTAAAAACTTAAAATACCTTCATGTAAAGACCCAAAAGGGCTAGAGCTTAGATATTTTGCATAAGGCATTGTCTGGTAGACCCTTACCAAGAATTTTAAATTATAGCCCTTGGGTCATAATCGGCCCCGCCCCGGGGGTCACTGGTTTAGCTTATATGTACATAGTAAAATCTTATAGTAAAACTTTGAAAAAAATTCTTCTAGCAAATGCTAGAGGTTAGATATTTTGCATGAAACATTGTGAAAGTATTAACCTCCAGCAAGATTGTTCAAATTATAGACCTGGGGTCAAAATTGCCCCGCCTCTGGGATCATTGATTTTCAATAAATAAAGTAAAAAATCAAAAAATCTTATTGTCTGAAGGTAAAAATTTTATGAAATCAGTTTAATAAGTTTATGCATTATGTTTGCCTTTCATTCATTGCTAACAATATTAATTTAGAGCCTCAATAATCAGGTGAGCCATATAAGGGCAATCATGGCCCTCTTGTTTTTGAATTTTTATCATTATTATTGTTTTCAGTCAATGACAATTGCATGGAGGTAAATAATCACCTCTGTGCTTCAAAATTGGCTTTTCTGTACGAAATCTGCTGTGGTCATAGTATTATTTTTACAATAGGTTTAGCTCTTAAATTTGGTTTGCAAATCATGGTCATGCAACTACATAATTAGGTAAAGAAGCAGACTCAGCTGCAGACGCTTGTTTTGGTTGAGTCTGTAATGTTTTGTTTAGGGGGTGAATTGTCATATTACAGAAATTTACAAAATATATGCATTTGTTATTTTTCAATGATTTTTATTAGCTTACCTGTCACAAAGTAACAGGGTGAGCTTTTGTGACCGCTTTTTGTCCAGCGTCCATCCAGCATCTATCCGTAAACTTTTACTTTAAATGACATCTCCTCACAAACCTCTAAGCCAATTTCCTCCAAACTTCACAGGAATGTTCCTTTGGAAGTCAACTTTAAAAATTGTTCAAAGAATTTAATTCCAAGCAGACCTCTGGTTGCAATGGCAAGCGAAAGAAAAAAAACTTATAAAATTTAAAATTATAGGCCTGGGGTCAAAATTGGCCCCGCCCCGGGGGTCTTTGATTTTCACTATATGACATATAGTAAAAACTTAAAATACCTTCTTGTAAAGACCCAAAAGGCCTAGAGCTTAGATATTTTGCATAAGGCATTGTCTGGTAGACCCTTACCAAGAATGTTCAAATTATAGCCCTGGGGTCAAAATCAGCCCCGCCCCGGGGGTCATTGATTTTTCTTATATGTATATAGTAAAAACTTAAAAAAAATTCTTCTAGCAATTGACAAATGCTAGAGGTTAGATATTTTGCATGAAACATTGTGAAGTATTAACCTCCAGCAAGATTGTTCAAATTATAGACCTGGGGTCAAAATTGCCCCCGCCTCTGGGATCATTGATTTTCAATAAATAAAGTAAAAAATCAAAAAATCTTATTGTCTGAAGGTACAAGGCTTAGAGCTTTAGTATTTGTTAAATGATATCATCTTTAGGTACTCTAGTGTCAAAATTAGCCCCGCCTCGGGGGCATAGGTTTTCCTTATATGTATATAGTAAAAACTTAAAAAAACATCTTCTCTAAATTTACAAAGGCTAGAGTTAAGATATTTTGCATGAAACATTGTGTAGTGAACCTCTAGCAAGATTGTACAAATTACAGCCCTGGGATCAAAATTGACCCCACACCCAGGGGTCATTGATTTTCACTATGTACATATAGTAAAAATTAAAAAATCTTCTTGTCTGAAGGTACCAAGCTTAAAGCTTTGATATTTGGTATATAATATCATCTATGGGTCCTCTACTAAAGTTGTTATAACCCCGCACAACGAGGTTGTAAGGGGGGTATACTGGAATCAGCTTGTCCGTCCAAACGTCTCACCGTCCGTCCGTCGGTTTTTTCCTTGTCCGCCCAATAACTTGAGATTCCTTTGGCCCACAGTCTTCATATTTGGCATGGAGGTTAGTCATGACTAGTAGATGATCCCTATTGATTTTGAGGTCACTGGATCAAAGGTCAAGGTCACAGGGACTTTGACTTCAAAAAGCTTGTCCGCCCAATAACTTAAGATTCCTTTGACCCACAGTCTTCATATTTGGCATGGAGGTTAGTCATGATTAATAGGTGACCCCTTTTGATTTTTAGGACACTGGGTCAAAGGTCAAGGTCACAGGGGCCTTGACTAAAAAAGTTTGTCCGCCCATTAACTTAAGATTCTTTTGACCCACAGTCTTCATATTTGTCATGGAGGTTGATCATGACCATAAGGTGACCCCTATTGATTTTGAGGTCACTGGGTCAAAGGTCAAGGTCACAGGGATCTTGACAAAAAAAAAGCTTTTCCCCTAGATTGCTGAAGAATGCCTGTCCGCAGTGTATTGATTTTGACATTTTCACATTTGAAGCATGTAGAATACATAACTTAGCAATGCACTGGCTTAGTAACCTCAGATTTGGCTTGAGCTCTAAATGTCCACTGTTGATTCTGATAAAGTGGTATGCGGGGCTATTCACGCCATGACATTGGCAGTTCTAGTTATCTTAGTAACGGTTGTACACATTCAACACAAATTTGACATATAGGTACATATTAGGAATAAGCAGTTCAAGTTTGAATGTTGGAAAAATTTTGAATTTTCAGTTTCAGCACTCTTTTGTGGAAATGTATGTAGTCATTATTTTGGATGCAAATAATGCAATATGCTATTTAAAAAAGGTTATCACTGAATAGTTTCTGTGCCTTGAACATTGAATAGTTTTAAGGGCTTTAAACTTAAAATGAAAAAGATAGTTTGTGCAAACAAATTTGGAACTGAATATTATAACATCTGAAATTTTGGCTGCATGCGGAGGCATCCGTGGCATGACGACACATTTCTTGTTTGAAATATTGTTAATGACAAGGCATTTGTGTTTAACAAACACGTTATTGTTTAACTTTGTCATCTATTTATGGAAATGATTCATACTTGGACAAATAGACAGACCTATTAAAATAAAAGAAAGGAAAAACTTTTTTTTCTTTAATGTTCTTTAAATTTTTCTAAGATTTGTTTAAGCTGTTTATTTGTTTGCTTTTAAAAATACACAGTTAATGTTTAATGTGTGGCATAGCTTTTTTTTCACAAATGCAATCTTGTATGATATAATTTTTTCTATATATGTATATATATATATATTATTTTTTTTTGTAGTTGAACTAGCTCATCTAACAAGGTTGACGCTGTCACATAATAAACTTTCAAGTAAGTATTACATAATTATACCCCCAAAAACGAAGTTTGGGGGGGTATATAGGAGTCACCCGGTGGTCGGTTGGTCGGTCGGGCGGTCGGTCGGTCGGTCCAGACGTCCGTTGCATTTTCCTTGTCCGGACCATAACTTGAAGACTAATGGTTGGAATTCAATATAACTACATACAATGGTCAAGCACATTGAGAGGAAGTGCAGTGCACAAGAACCATAACTCTATCTTGACTAATTACAGAGTTATTGCCCTTTGTTACTTTTCCTTGTCCGGGGCATAACTTGAACACTACTGGTTGGAATTCAAAACAACTTCATACAATTGTCAAACACAATAAGGGGAAGTGCAGTGCACAAGAACCATAACTCTATCTAAAGTAATTACAGAGTTATTGCCCTTTGTTTCTTTTCCATTGCTTTCTTTTGTCCGGACCATAACTTGAAGACTAATGGTTGGAATTCAATATAACTACATACAATGGTCAAGCACATTGAGAGGAAGTGCAGTGCACAAGAACCATAACTCTATCTTGACTAATTACAGAGTTATTTCCCTTTGTTACTTTTCCTTGTCCGGGGCATAACTTGAAAATTACTGGTTGGAATTCAAAACAACTTCATACAATTGTCAAACACAGTAAGGGGAAGTGCAGTGCATAAGAACCATAACTCTATCTAAAGTAATTACAGAGTTATTGCCCTTTGTGACTTTTCCATTGCTTTCTTTTGTCCGGAGTATAACTTGAAGACTAGTTGTTGGAATTCAATATAACTTCATACAATGGTCAAGCACATTGAGAGGAAGTGCAGTGCACAAGAACCATAACTCCATCTTGACTAATTACAGAGTTACTGCCCTTTGTTACTTTTCCATTGCTTTTTTTTTGTCCGGAGCATAACTTGAAGACTAATGGTTGGAATTCAATATAACTTCATACAATGGTCAAGCACATTGAGAGGAAGTGCAGTGCACAAGAACCATAACTCCATCTTGACAAATTACAGAGTTATTGCCCTTTGTAACTTTTCCTTGTCCAGAGCATAACTTGAAAACTACTGTTTGGAATTCAATACAACTTCATACAGTTGTCAAGGACATTAAAAGGAAGTGCAGTGCATAAGAGCCATAACTCCATTTTGACAAAATACAGAGTTACTGCCCTTTGATACTTTTCCTTGTCTGGAGCATAACTTAAAACGTACTGGTTGAAATTCAAAACAACTTCATACAATGGTCAAGCACAAAAAGAGGAAGTGCAGTGCACAAGAACTATAACTCCATCTACAGTATTTATAGAGTTATTGCCCTTTGTTCCTTTTCTTTGTCTTTCTGGACTTATTACAGAGTAATTCAATAAAACTTCATCAATGGCCAACCACATTGAAAGGAAATGCAATATACAAGAACCACAACTATCTTTAATTGCCCACAACCATAACTCTATATTTCAATTCTTTTACAAGATATTCTGTTACTAGTAACATCCTCATTTCCGAAGCAGTCTTGTGGGGGTATTAATCACATTTAGTGATAGTTCTAGTTATCTATGTTTTAGAAAAATATCTTCAGCCAATATTATCAGTGAAATCCATTTATAAGAGCCATTGAAAATTCTTATTCTACAATGTAAAAAAATGCACCATGTTTGGTTCATTCTTTCAACCGTTTCAATCTTTGTTACCTATTTAGCTTACCTGTCACTAAGGCCCCAACGTTTCCACGTTTAAACGGATTCATTTCAACTTTCATTCGTAAACGTTTACAATATTTTTACTGTTTAAACGAAATGACCATATTGTCTTACAAAATTTCTTAATCATTGCCTGTAATCATGGATTTTATCAATTCTAGTGGTTTATTCCAAAGTAAGTCAAAGGGCTGCATGCTCTATGGTATTTTCTGATCTTTCCTGTATAAGTTCATTTTTATAAACCATAATTCATCTTACGCAGCGACTGCGTTTAGATTTTTTTCTATAACAGTTTGAGATTGATACAATTTTGCATGCCTAGAGTTGCATCAAAAATCATTTTTCATTTTTTTATGACAGCCACACTTTATCCTTGCATATCGTGGCTACTTCCTTAAAAAAGAACATTTAAAAAAAATGTTGCCTCGACTAGGATTTGAACCTTAGGCCTCTCACACCCTAAACGAGCGCGCTACCTCTGCACCACGGTGAAGTAATACGTATGTAGCTTGAATAAAAACAAATACATTGTAATTCTAAAATTGAGAATTTCCATTTCGTGTTTGTAATCCTTATAAATTTCGAGGTATTTTTTTCACGATAAACCTGTTGTTAAACACTGATGAAAATAATTTAGCGAAAATCTTCTCGCCAAAACAGTCCGACATGTATATATTCCACTACTCGACAGTCAGATTTATTTGTGTACTACGCTCTGGAGTATTCGGTAATCGACATAGCTAAAAATAGCATTTTCATTGATTAAGCTTTACGGAAATAGTCGAACATTATTCATTGGGTAAAAAAGATATTCATCCGCGAAATTTGTGATTGTAACCTCATATTTCTATTGACTAATCTAAACTTTTAATGCACTGTAATTCGTTAAATGTCTACATTAAAAATTATTCTTTCTTTTAAATTGCTGGTTTTTAAGCAGTTTTGAGTGAGAACTACTTTGCGTTGTTAGGTCTGTGAGGAAATTTTGTGTTAGACGGTGGATGTTAGCTATGTATTTACTGATCTTGCGATCAGAAAATACAAAAACGGAAAATGGGTGTTTACAACCCTCCACACAGCATTACAGTGCAAAAATTGTTCGTGACATAATACATCTTTGGTAAAAAATGGGGATACAATGCAGAAAATGTGTGCTGATTCAATCGTGATGAGCCCTTGACATTCTTATTTGTACATGTATTAAAAATAGACAGTATGTCATCATTTGATGACTTGAATACATGGTGTAGTATAGTACATAGAGGTACCACCGTTTAAACGGTATCATTTTGGTTCTTAGCAATCGTGTAAACTTTAACAAAAAATTGTAAACGTGGGAGCCTTACCTGTCACAAAGTGTCAAGGTGAGCTTTTTTGATCACAATTTGTCCAGTGTCCGTCCGTCGGTCCGTTCGTTAACTTTTTCTTTAAACGACATCACCTCATAAACCGCCAAGCCAATTTCATCCCCAAACTTCACAGGAATGTTAATTTGGTAGTCACCTTTAAAAATTGTTCAAAAAATTTAATTCCATGCAGAACTCTGGTTCAGGGCAACCGAAAGAAAAAAATCTTAAAGAATCTCTTTTAAAAAACACAAAGAGCTAGAGCTTATATATTTGTTTATTTGGCATGAAACATCTTCTAGTGAGTGTCTACCAAGTTTCTTCAAATAAAAGCCCTAGCGTCATAATTGGCCAGCCCAGGGGGTCCTTATAATTATGTATATAGGAAAAACTTACAAAATCTTCTTTTCAAAAAGACAAATAGCTAGAGATAAGATATATGGCATGAAACATCTTCTAGTGAGTATCTACCAAGTTTGTTGAAATAAAAGCCCTGGGGTCAAAATTGGCCCATGGGGGGGGGGGGGTGGCATTGATTTTTCTGATATGTATATAGTTAAAACTTAAAAAGTCTTCTTTCAAAAAACACAAATCGCTAGAGCTTAGATATTAAGCATGAAACATCTTCAAGTAAGTGTCTATCAAGTTTGTTCAAATAAAAGCCCTGGGGTTAAAATTGGCCCAGCTCTTAGGGTCATTGATTTTCCTTATACACGCCCGGCAAACTGTCGCTCCACTTCAAAATTGTGGTAAATAGATATTATTCGAAAGTAGTGAAGCCAAAGGGCAAGAGATGGAGCGAAAGGTTTGATGTTGAGCGCAAGGCGATATTAATTTGGCATATTGGGAGGAGCGTGGTCTATGAATTTTTATATATAAAAGCTTCAGAAGTTAAAATAGACATGATCAAGTGATGAGACTGAGATATAATATATTTAAAGACAGCTAATAAAGCGTGATATCCTTTCAATGACTATAGCGTAATAGATGTAATCGCGAAGGTGTCACCTATGGCTGCCGTATAGATTCCATTATTTATGTTCCAAATTTGGATGAGGCCCGATCATTGAGTCATATGGCGTAAAACAGGGCGACTCGAGGTCAATCATGATTTTTGACACGGTTATGTACATTTTAAAACGTGTGTCCTTGCAAATTCGACAAAATCGAATATATTCAGCTCTACCGTGAACAAATGTTTCCAAGCAGGTACATGTAACACGATTGTTCCCGCCAAATGTTATGTTTTTCGAAAAGTTAGATATTTAAGGTGCAGAACAGAGACAAAATTATGCAATACACGGGGCACATAAAATGGATCACTACTACCGAGTTCATTTTACTATGACTTTCTGTAATTAATAGCTCTAACGTACATGTTCAGATCAAACACAAATAAGCCACGTTTTCATGAAATAGAAAGACTTTTGTAAGGTGGGGAATCTCTATGAAAATGGTTGACAAAGTGTCAGTCGTTCTAAGGATATGAAATATGATAAACAAGATCAACAAGGAAAGGCGGCGTTCAATGAACGCCACCCCCACGCGACCCAGCAACAAGAACCGGTGGCAAGGAGCCCAGGAGGCCCTCAAACAAAAACAGGACAGGGCGCAATGCGGAGCACGGACAGGTCAATCACTAATTATAAAATGAAACATAAAAAGAAATCATAAAAACCGACAAGGAAAACAAAGAAAAAAGATAAATGACTGCTTAACAGGCTCACAAAGTAAAGGGGCATAGGGGAAGGGGATACGAGACCCGGGGAAGGGGATTATATTAGTGTTTCAGTTATGTTTCAAGATACTAAGTCTTTCTTTCTTATTTAGCATTGTTGTTTAGTTTACCATTTTCCTCTCAAAGTATAAATGGAAATGTTCACTATCATAATCAAACACTGCATATTGTCAGTACAAATCTTGATTAATTAAAGAAAAAAAAATAAGTTAAAAGAAATATCT